ATATATATATATATGAAAATTCTCTATATTTTATCAATATATATATACATATATATGTATATTCGTAAATTGAAAATATTAAACTGTTGCTAAATTAATCAATTACGTATTTTTGTGAAAATTTTATTGTTCCTCTGATGGATTTTGCTCATTCAACTTATTTCTACGAAAAGTCCATAGTCCACCTATTAACCACAGGAAGACACAAGACAGGCTGAGAAAGGATGTGAAATAAAGCGCACCCACATAACTATTTGTTGAATCATGCACTAAACCTGAAAAAATATTTAATTTTATTAAAAATAGATAAAATATATAATAATAATAAAATAAGATAATAATAATGTTGCCGTGTAAAATATTTTAATTATAATTATATTAGCATTAAAAAAATTGCAGGCTGCTTTCATTGTATAGTTAAAATTTCTCTTTACCGATAATTGGTCCCATGCTGATAGACAGGATGCCATTACAAACCATCTGAATACCGGATGCAGCCGGCAACCTCTCCAATGGCACGTAATCAGGAATGATTAGAGCTTGGAAGACAGCTTTGGTTCCCTTCGCCAATCCAATGATCAGGGCTACTCCGATTACAATGACGTAAGTATCACCCCACGTCGATAGAACTGTCAAGAAGTATTATGAGAAATGATTTTATACAGAAGTTTACATAAAACATAGGAAATGTGTAAAGATCAATAAGAGTGCATATAAATGAATCCAGATAGATTTAATATAATATTAATCAAATAATCAAATAACATTAAAATGTATTATAATATACTAAAATATAGTGTTCAGATATATGTTATATTATAATTAACGTTGCGAATTCAATCGTGGTTTGATAATTATTATGATCGATGATTTGTAAATGTTATCGATTGTCATACGATATGCATTTAGCCATCTAATCAACCCACCCCAAAGTTCACCTCGTGAAGAGATTCCTCGGGTTCGTATATTTTACGTGGCAGTACGTACTAGTCCTTCCAAAAGTCGATCCTAGCAGAGATAGCACATAAAGATTCCTGCAGGTCCAGCCAGTTTTTTGTGCCAACAACGGTACACAAAGGCGTCCCATAATGTCCGCGGCAGCTTGAATCGACATTATTGTAGCTATCGACGTTCTGTCGAGATTCGCCAATTCGGCTAGGACGAAAGGTATCGTTACGTTGAAATTCGTTTCGGCCACCAACGAAACGCTCATACCTGTTTTTGAGACATTACATACATCTCTCAAGATTTTAATTTTACTTCGACAAGACTTGTGAAATCAATTGTTCGTACTTTACCTAATACTATCGCTATATAACGATTATCACGAAGAAGATCGAGATCCATATTTGTAACAATTTTTTTAAGGAACGAAGTTTGTTTATTTCTTTTCACTTCTGTTTCGCTATTCTCCGGACAATAGCTCGGTTGTCTTTCCTCTTCAGCATTCCGTTTATTTAATAATCGGCATTGAACAGCGTTATTTTCTACACTTGTCTTATCAACACATGAATTTTCCTCTTTCGATATATTAGTAGTTTTGTCCATCAGAACACTCTAAAAATGGAAAACAAAAGAGAGCCATCCAAATATAATTTACATTTCGCATATTATTGATATGACAATAGACCGAAATATATAAAACGAAACATGAAGAAGATAGGTGTAAAATTACGCCATTGCTCACGTACCTTTAACTCACCTCTGTCTGCTTTCTAAACGGTTTTAATAACGATGCACCAATCAAAGAATGTGAGGCGATTCCAGCAAGGATCAGGAGAGTGCCGGTCGTGGCAAAATTTTCGAGAAGTACGTCTATTAAAAGAGGCATTAAAATTGGACCCAGACCAGTTAATGTAATCGAAAAACCCATGGCTATATTGCGTTTCTTGCGGAAATATGTGTTTAGAGCTAATGTTGTCGCTGGAAAAAGAATTCCTTGACCGATTCCTGTTAAATATATGTGTTTTGTAATTAACGCTGTCAGCTTTTGAAAACAATAATAGTATAATTAGTATATAAGAATTCAAATCTTAAATAAAGCAATTTTAGAGACCAGCAATAATACAATTACATTAGTATCTGTTCTGGTAATTAAAATTACTGAAGTACTTAAGCTGTAACATTAAGCGTCACTAAATACTGAACAAAAAATATGTTGCAACAATTATCTTTAAAGATTCCTTTACTTTGTTTGCGTATATTATTGCTTTACTCTGCGCAAGTCCATTTTGCTCAATAGAATACAGTGGCGCTCAACCAGCAATACAAACGATTAAATGACTTGTCATATTACAGTTCTCATTCACGCCTTGATATTTTATAGTGTGAATTATTTACCAATGATAACGCAGTAAGTGATAATAAGAGTCGGGAGAGACACGGCGAAGGCAGCGGCGCAGATTCCGAGAACGACTGTCAGGCTGCCGAAATATGCGACCTTGCGAAAAGCGAATCTTTTCATCATTGGACCACTTATAAGACCGAGACTGCATGTTATTGTTCCATTAAGATGAAGAATTAGACTCGTTTGCGTCGCAGTAATGCCGAGACTTGCGAAACGTTCTGCGAAGATAAGGCCGAAACATTGCTGGACTGGGAGTACGGCTAGCTAACAAAGGAAATTACAATTATTCTCGTGAAACTGTATCGTTCAAATTTCGTAATATTCGCACTTTTTAGAATATTATCCATTAGGAAATTTTTGGGTAAAAAAATTATAATCTTTTGAGAAAATAAAAATATGAATTTTATAAGAATGATAAAATGTCTAAATCCATTTTTATTTACACAGAAGTTTTATGGCTTATAAAAAATAAAATATTATCAAATTTATCATTAAAAATGTTACAGATATCGACAGGATATGTACAGGATATATACGTGTTTCCTGTAACATAAACATTTAAAATGTCTCCGTTGTTTTTGATGATACGAGAAAATACCACAGAAGATCTTATTCGATTCGAAGAGGCATATACTATGATGAAAAAATTTTTCTCATATTTTTTGAGACGTCGAGGTCACCTCCACTTTTTAAAATGAAATTGTATGATTTTTTTACACAATATGGTTTCTTTAATTATTCTGTATATAAAAGTATTCAGATAGTGATATAAAAAACCAATTGTTTACGAGATATTTTACTTTATTTTGGTATATATTCACATAAAATGTCAAATAACTCGTAAAATATTAATTTTTTTATAATCATACTTTACTACTTTTGTATGCAGAATAACGAGATGAATTAATTGATAGAAAATAAACAAATAATTGCTTATTTAAAAAATTATCCTTTTTGCATACATATTTTTTTTAAAGCAACTATGTGTTTTCTTTCCATTAATTGATTCATTTCATTATTCTGTTCATAAAATTATTAAAGTATAATTATAAAAAAATTAATAGTTTACGAGTTATTTAACATTTTATATCAATATATGCCGGAATAAAGTATAAAGTATCTCGTAAACTATTAATATTTTTATATCACTACCTTAATACTTTTATATGCAGAATAATTAGAGGAATCATATTATTTAAAACAAAATCATACAATTCCATTTAAAAAAGTGGAGATAGCCCTAAAATCTCAAAAAAATGATCTTGAGAAAAATTTTTTGCTCATCATAATATGTGCGTCTTCGAATCGAGCAAGATCCCCTGTGGTATTTTCTCGTATCATTAAAAATTAAATAATTAAGACAGAGTTAGAGGAACACCCTGTATATATAAATTTTTGAATGATTTTGTTCATAAATGTTTATTCATTATTCGTTAGAAGAAGCTTCAAATTATTAAAACTAATTTTGAAATTAAAATTAAAATTGAAGAATAAAATATAGAATAAAGTTATATATATATATATACATATACATATATACGTAGCAATAGGAAATAGTCTCATTTCATTATTAAAAAAAAACTTACATTGATAACAGTCACGCCAACGACAATCACCCATGCCCAGCCCTGATCTATCATATCACTTGTCATTCTATCAATCGTATCAGTCACTATTCTGCAAGTATATCATGAAAGCGTAAATTCCTAGAGATTTTCAATTGTAGCCCGTGTTCATATCATCGACAAACTGCAAACCTAACTGCTAGACAACGAACACATAATCACAAATTTAATTGGACAGGTGATAAGATACGCGCTGCGGATAAAGCCCCTCTCATTTCAATTTAGTTGCTATTTATATACATATAATTTATGTACATGTATAAACTGCAATTATAATATAATTTATGTATACGTATAAATTGTCTTTTCTTACTAAAAATAGTTGCATTTTTTATTATATATTCATTTATGTCTTTTATCGTAACCGTGTGATCTATTAAATACTTCTTCAATTAATTAATAAAACAGTGATATTTAATAGCAAGAACGAGCTCGCACAATTACTCGTCGTAATTCAACTCAACTAACTCTACCGACTTCTATTATATCTATAACAAAAAATAGAATAACGATCTTGAAAAGTTGTTTAAATTATAATTAGTTTTTTAGTTTTGATACAATTTTTTTGCTTAACAGTTTTTACAAATTTACTTTGTTTGTAAGTCGACAACAAAATTGACATTGTTTCGAATTATTTATGTCTCTTAAAAATTTTTTAGTAATTAAAAGAAAGTGCAAATGAAAACAAATTTGCTTGCTCAACTAGTTATTTAAACGGTACAGAAGTAGTACTGAAGCGATATATTTAACTTGTTATTCTGTTTGTTCTTTATTAGCGCCTTGGCTTCTTTATCTGTTAATGACTCACAATCAGTCGTTCTCCCTTCTTCTCGTGGGAATTGCTTACTTCGTAATCAAGCAGAAACGTTTAATCAAGTCGTCAAGCCTCTGTGTTAGCAAGCAATTATATCGGAGTGCATTCTTAAGTACAACTGGAAAATTGTTCAATGGCGCAATGTATTGTCACAAAGTTAACACTCACGCGCATGTCAACTAAAAAAAATTTATATAAATATTAAACAAGGTTTTTTAACATGCTTTGATATGGATATTCGACGCATAAAGCCAAGGAAGATATGTTCTGACACGAACTGCGGACGATCCGAGACTGGCCGAAGAGAAAGAAGCGCGATGAAAACCGGCTCCGCTCTATTCGAGACCGAGCATGATCGTTCGTAATGTTTTTACTCGCTTAAACGCACGCGTACAGTGCTACGTTGGAGATACTTATTATTTATAGTCGCTTTTGTGAACTAGGATCAAATTAATAAATGTGTCTCATTATGTAGCGTAAGCAATGACACAAGCTTGCTTATCACACTGCTTGTGGTATATCACACTTGTGTCATATCAATCACAATTCTCGTTTCGTTGAAGCACTTTGCTGTAATTTGATATGGATAAAAATGCAGTTTTTTCAGAAAAGAGCATAAACAGATATGAAAATAAATATTGATTATTAATGGAATATTTATCAAAATAACAATAATAATTAGATCTTCTTATTTATGTACAGAATAATAACTGATTTGACAAGGAAGTTTTGCGGATAAACAGAAGAAAAATGAGTCTGTTGTAGAAATACATATGGCGTAGCATCTACAGTAGATAAGATATAGTTCATCGGAAAAATTACAAATTATGAAGTCACTGAACATTTTTCGAGTACTTTGATCCACTTTAATGCACAAAAATAATTTTTTTTTAATAGAAAACTAATTGTGGTGTAAAAATAAATTATTAATCTAAGAAAAAGTTATTTTGAAAAAGAATGATTTATTTGATCAGTTTTTATGCCGTACTAAATTGAGAGAATTTGACATAATTGATAAAAATACATTAGATAATTTTATAAGACTACTATATTAAATTTAAAATGTTATTCTGCTGCATTCTGTTGTAATTTCTTAACAATAGCAATTTGTCTACAAAAGACACGATATAAAAATTCAATACTCCATATGACAGATGTGACAAGTATCATGGCAGTCATCACGTGAAGACAGATTTTGTAGCTACCGCTGACGTCTCTGATATATCCTTTTTTAACAAAAAATAAAGAATTAATCTCAACGCGCTATTATTTTAATACATAAGAAACATTATTATCTCGTATATTATATAAAAACATACCAATTAAAGGACTCATAATAATTACACATAAGCCTTTAAACACCATAAACATTCCAAATGCACTTGGTAGCTTTTTCAAAGTACAACATTCGGATATGCAGAGATTTAAATTCACCAATGTAGTGCCACGTAAAAATCCAGCTATTATTAATGTGACAATCAACGGTGTTTTTTCTGATTGTTCCGCTAATACTGTGTAAACAAAAGAAATATTACATTTCTCTACTTGCTCATAAGTTTTTGTAAAATTGCATTCTGTATTAAAGCCTTTATTATTGATCAACTGTTTTAATTATTGACAAATATCACATTTCAATCAAAAAATTACTTTGATAATCAAATATAATTTTAAATGAATATAATTAAATAAAATTTAAATAAATGTTTATTGAAGTAATAAAACTTAATAATAATAACTCTTTTAATTTTTATTACTGGAGCGTGTGATTCCAACGAGGAAGCTGGAGATCCAGAAAATTGTGCGTTTTTTCCAACCGAATTTGTCGAATAATGTCGGCAACAGCAGTCTAGCGAGGATATCGGTGAATGCAGTCAGGGACAGACAAAAGGCTACCTCCGCTTGTTTCAGTCCTGTCATTCGTCAAGTTCCTACGAGTAGTTTATGTAACTCACGAGCAGTGCCGTAGCGAGGATGTTTGCTGAGATCGGTGTCTTTCGAGGTCCCTATAATATTGCTCTAAACAGATTTGTTTATATGCAACGCGAATAACTTTCAATATTTCCATGTTTAGAACACAGGGGAGCTCTTTCAACAAGGTAATATACATCCTTTGCTACGGTACTGATTACATTTAAATTATACATTTACAACTCTCACCAAGATCCGACAGAAAGAAAGGAGTCATTAATTTAAAATTTGACTCAGCCACGTAAAAAAAGCTGCAACCTAGAGTGACATTTAAGTAAATGGAATCTTTGAGAAGATCCAAGTCAAAACATGTTTGTAGCTTCTTTATAAACGATTTCTTTTGGGGTGAGAGTGTTTCAATGTCTGCGATTTGATCTTTGCTCCACATTGATCCATTTGACATCCTTCGTGGTTCAGTATGAGTCGGTTTCATTAATAAGGCTTCGTTCTCTCGTTCTTCATTCGACTTTTTCTAAGAAGAAATATGTATGTCTTATTAGATTTTAATAATATTATTATATAAATAAGTTAATACACATACTCTTTTCTTAATAATTTAATATAAAAATTCGGGATGTAATAAATTTGGAACTACTTAATAATTTAATATTTTATGGATTAAAATAATTACCTCGACTGGTGGTGCCGGCGATCGTTCTTCAAATGGACGTAATAAACATGATCCCACTAAAGAATGTAATGCCCATCCTCCAGCGATAAGTATTGTGCCGCGAAATCCGTATACGTTCAGCAGCATATGTACTAACTGTACAAATAAATTGCTAATTTAAAAATTTTTTCTTTTCGCAAATATTTATGTACATCACTTACCAACGGTACGAACATCATTGCCAACGCGTTCCCTGCCATGGAAAAGCCTACTGCTTGTCCACGTTTTTTGTCGAAAAACGTATTTAATGCGACGAAGGATGAAGCCATGGCAAGGCCAGTACCTAGACCTATCGTAAGATAAATTATAGTTATAAAATGAATTTTATTTATAAAAATTTGCATCTTTTAGACGACAAAGTTATATAATTGGTAGATTCTATATATATTTATATATATATATATACCTCCTAATACACTATAAGAGCAAATAATATATGGTATACTGTTAGCTTGCGATGTAATTATTAAACCACTGCAACTTAGCAAAGATCCAAAAAATGCGACTTGTCGGTAAGAATATTTTTTTAATAATGGACCAACTAAAAAACCTGTAAATTTATGATTATTTTAATAAGAATGAATAACTTTCTTTTAAAAAATAACACGATAATTACAATTTTTGTTGTAAATTGAATGTTATAGAAATGATGTTTTACCTGAAAAATTGACAATGGCATCTAAGACGCTCATTATAATTGATGTCCATGTGGAGTCGACATTAAGATCCTCCAACAGATCTTTAAATAGTAATCCGAATGATGGATCCAAGGATCGCAAAGAGAGCTATAATTTACGTTAGTTATTAATAGAATATAATTAATAGAATATAATAAATAGAATAATAGATTTTTCTATGTATATACATATATATACGTATATATAATGATTATTATTTCAAATAAGTAAAAGTGATCTTCTATAAAACTCTATATTATGTTAATACTTTTTCTAACTCTAATTTAATCCTATTTTGTTTTCACTGTGTGTCTTACGCTTAATGTTTCAATTTATTTATTAATAAATATACATAAAGAACATTTATAATAGTCTATAATATAATGCAATGAAAATAAAAATGAAAAATGACATAACTGTATTTATGAAATTGAGAATTCTTGGAAAAAATAGTAATTCTCTCTTTAAACAAACGGCTTCCGAACAAATCAAATTTGAACGATGAAGGAGCATAAAAGCCAACGCAGGGTGACAGTGCAATATATCAATTTACTTTACATATATGCTCCTTCATTGTTCAAATTTGTATAGTAATTCTCTCTACCGTTTTTCATCGTACATAATACTTTGTTTTTAATAATAAATCCTGTTGAATCATTTTCTTTGTAACGTAAGTATTTTTATTCATGTTAAACGTGAATTTATAATTCAAACTTTATATAACAATGTAATAATAATAACTCTATTAACATTTACCGTAATTAGACTGCTTCCAAGACAAACAAACCAACCCCAGCCACCATCTAGAGCTTGTCCTTTAATATCATTTTTTTTGTTTTCTGTCATCATCAACGGGAACGATTTCTCACACGGTTTACTATAAATTATTAACGTTAAAAAATACTATCGAGAGCTAAATTGCCAACAATCGTCTTTAAATCACATTGTCACATGAACATTGTCACTTTCTAATCGATGCCGATACCGCTCATTAATCGCCAATCAAATACGCTTGTCAATACTGTGCGACTTTCTGTTTCAAACTAAACATTAAATACGCTGTCCATTTACTTCTTTCCACTTGTCTCCCACTCTTGTGGAAAAATATACTGGTCAAGCGGGGGATTTAGAACGAATAATCGTTGCGTGTATAGTCAATCAAATCGTATATTTGAAACTATACAAAGCGATGAATAATATATATAACAAGCATGTTACGTAACATCAGGGACAAATTATTTTGGCATTCAGCAAATTAAAATAGTTATATGACACGCAAGGCGTAATCAGAACAAACTTGGTAAATATACTGAACGGAAAAGTATCTATTGTATTGTGTCACATGTCTAAAAAAGTATACATGATTTGCGAAATAAATTTTCTTTAAAATCGATAATCTTTCTTTAATATCGATATCTTTAATTACGAGTAATATATACATTATCATTTATGATATTATATTCTACGTTATCTAGAGTAAAAGATAACATATGTACAAGATTATAAATTGTGCAATAAATAAGTTTTATCAAATAACGTAACAACTATTTAAGTAAAAAGATGATATCAAATGACGTCTTTTATATCAATAAGACGTCATTAAAACGTCATTTTGCTATTTGAGTATATGTAAATTAGCAATATTTTATATTATTACTTAAGTATGTGCTATAATGTCGTAATTTTCAATGTCTTTTCAGAAACTATACGAAATTATTACTTGGTGCGAGATATAAAAATAATAAATGCAATAAAACTTACCATTAATCATAAAAAATTGATTTTTCTATAAGTTTTTTCGACTGTTTCTTGTACCGTTTTGTACATTACTCACTCTGTACTTATTTCTTAGTCAGCAGCACAAACGTTTCTACGACTCGCCAGACCAAGTAATCTGAGATGGCTGATAATTGGCAAATAATTGTTAACGTCAGTGTCCACTGTGGTCACAAGCGAATCGTTTGCAGTACTGGTCGACCTTCGTTGGTTGGACGTTTTATCTGTGTCCATATTGCATATACATGTAGATAGCACTCTCAAGAGGCGATAGGTATATGTTGGGCTTATATATAAAACGTTACCTGCTTTCATCAATAAAATTATTCCAATAATTGTAACAATGTTTTTATAATATTATATGATAAAATATACAATGCAATAAATGTATTTTTATATTGTAAACTTGATCAACACAATAAAACTAATTATTATGAAGTTGGAAGATATTACAATAAGTTAAGGTCAATATTTACGCCTCACTTTTACCGATAAATATGCTCATATGTACAGTTTATGTTACATATACTACAGAATTTAAAAAAAAATGCGTGTATTTATCAATAAAAAAAAGTGTAAATATGAATCTTAATCATTAATATTATGGAACCTCTGTGCTAACATACATTAATCTATATTATAAATAGGATAGTAAATACGGTTACAATTACATTCGCTGATAAAAAATAAATTACGCCTTAAGTTATGCAATTGCGAGGTGTACGATGTAAGATGAGTAAACGTTGCACAGGCGTCTTTACTTTAGTTTTTCTATAGTACATTAATAGTACCATTTCTTATTTTAAAATAAAATACTTGTTATATGTATCATCAATTTAAATATTATTATGTATATATATATATATATATTTATTTATATACATTGCATACAGCGCATTTGACACACGTGTGCAATACATTATTCCTATGTCTAATGTGCTGTGTGCAATACGGCCATATAAGTAACGAACTATATGTTATGGTCGTGTGTATAAACAAAGTTGTAGGCAATTATTTTGTAGGAAAATCTCGAAACAAACGGAGTATTTTCGTTATTAGTGACTGATGACTAATTTTTCAACAGTTTGTCAAATTTTAATTGTTCTTCAATTGACATCCAATTTTTAAATATCAGTTTCTTAATAGGCCAAGGAAATTTGCGAGGGGGTAACTACTAGTTGAAATATTGTTATACAGATTTCATCTGATTACAAATAATTTTTTTCATACATATGAAGTCATTTGATAAAATATACGATTTTATTTAATATTATACAATGATTTCTCATGGTTGCATATGTAATTATCGGATTATACATAGAGATTTCGTATGAATTTTGAATAATTTCGAGGCCTGTGTCCCACGATTACATTAAATGGAAATTACTCGGAAATTTGTCGTTGCAGATTTGAACCGATTTGGATTAATGTCATTGCATGCTCTACTTGGTATATTTCCACAATTATGTATTTTTTCACAAGAGTGGGAAATAAATGGAGAGGAGTAAATAGACAGCATATTTTAATAGTTTAATTTGATGTTTAATTTGAAATAAAGTCACAAGTAACAAGCGTATTTTATTGTAACGTCAACTAATAGTAAAGAATGTGACGTCATTAATTCAACCCGGATTGACTCAAATCAACTGCAGTAAAAAACGCTATTATTATTATCAGTAGTTGATAAGATTTCAAATATTTATTTTTCTAATTTTTTAAACAAACTTTAAAATAAAAATTCTCCAGTAACTTCCATTCATTTAGGTGCTATCTAGGTATTAATTTACTATCATAAATTTATATATGTTTTCTTACACGTATTTTGTTTTTAACCGACAAACTAGCAAAAAATTGAAAATTAATCATTAGTAACGAAAGTACTGTGTCTAACTAATTTTTTAGAATGATGTTAGAAACTGATTATTAAAACTAGGTGTCAACTGATCATTATCAGCAACCGACTTCTTGTAATCAGTCATTAGAGAATATCATATGTTATTGTACAAGTGGCACCGCCGACAGATGGATGCGGAGGAGTTTAATTTTTCGTGAGTAAGAATTATACAGGAGAATGAAAGGCGTAGTATTATAAGATCTTTCACCTTAAAACCGCGCTTATCTGACGTACATCTTTGAATGTTATGTACATTGTAAATCACACATAGTAGCCGCAGATTTCTTATCTGTTATATGCAAGTTTACAGAAATGGTGAACAGGTAACACCTGGGCAATAACTGAGTGGGGATAGCTGATCATCTATCTGATGACTGAGCAGCGCATATGAATTTTATTAGTTATGGATCAACATAAAGCTTGACAAAATCAAACAAATATTGACGAGTTTTTTATTAGTAACTAGTAAATCTATCTTAATATACTGATTGTACTGTCATTAGTTGCAATGAATAATTATTCATCAGTTATTTATCAGTTAATTAATTAACTTTTATATATATTAACCTTTAACTGATTACGTAAATAAATGATAAATTAACTCTATAGCACTAATGGTGATGTAATGTCAATTTGATTTCATATCGCTATAATGAACTGTGTTTAGCAAAGAATGTTGCGGATAGTGAAAAAAAATGTCAACAGGTATAAAATAGTGATGCCGCAGTTCAAAAGTTCTCAACCAACTGCAAAAGGTAATATGTATTACATACATTTTTCCCACTTCTGTCATCGAATTAAAAGTTATTTTAAAAGTTATACGGATTGTATTATCATTAGTTGCAATGAACAGTTATTCAGTTGTTTATCAATAACTAACTTTCATTAATGATTAGTTTTTTTATCAGTTCTGAATATATTTTTCTCAAGAGTTATATTTCTTGAAAAATATTATTACTTAATAATTATTAAAAAATTTGTATTTCAATCTTTTATTTTGTCAAAACTTTTGTACATAATTTTTACAAACTTTTCTACAAAATTATAATAAAAGCTTCTTTTACCTATATATGTACTGTTATATTTTTTAAGAAATGTAAAATTAAAGAGTATTTATAATTACAAAAATTGCTTATTTTCTAAATTATTGATAATTTGTTTTGTTTAAATTTATTTTATTGCTACATTTAAAGTAAATTTATAATATTAAGTTACTCGTATTTATCGTTGATTAATAATTATAATTAGCTTTAAAAAATGACGTCCCTTATTATTAAATTCAATGACAGTTGACTTAATTGGAGCATTTACGAAGATCAGAAAATGTACATTACGTTTACCTCTACATTTTCTTTTTCCATGAGATTCCGTATTTACGGATGCTACAGTGATAATATTTCACTCTGGCTTAAGAACGGATGTTTAATACGATGACACTTCTACTACATAGATAAGAAGACTTCGAAATCGTTTCTGACATGCCCCGCTTAGTCGGAAACTGTCTACCTTCGATTATCGTGGAAGTGTATCGAAATTATTGACGTGCTTTAAATTTATCTATCGTTATTCTGCTAGGTAAATACTTAAATCTTATCTACAAATCCGATGCAACAAAAATATCAAAAATATAATTTGATCTGATTAATCTACTAAATGAAGGATCTTTGTCATAAACAAATTACATCTAAATAATAACTACAACATATAATTACTATAATTAATTTCATGTTACAGTATATCTTAAAAAAATTATTACTTAAATATATTTCATATCAATATATTAATTCTAATCAATGCATAAAATCTTCTGTTTGGAAAACTTTTATTTTTTTATTTATTTATACGACTAAAATAAGATATACCGAATTTAATAAAATAAATTAATATTTTTAACAATATTAGACAAGTACGTTTACGATTTTAAATGAATACACAAAAAAAAAGTAAACTTCCTAAATGTCAAGCTGGATCTTTAGTGCTTAAATAGTTCAACAAAAAATTCGTGAATTTATTATTACATAAACTGCGCGGCGAATTTAATTTTCAGCCTTGAAACGCAATCGTAACATAACTAGAGTACTAATATCATAATATAAATTAAATTAATATTATTAAATTCACACAAGTAATTTAATAATATTAATATTCATAAGGCATCTTAGAAAGATCTCAATAATTTGATACTGCTGAACATTTTAAAACCTGTAAATTATTTGATTACAAAAGATATTTTTATTTACATATTAATTAGATATTTTTAAAAACAATTCATTGTGTTTATTAAATTATTTATTAAATTGTTTTCTATAAATCATTTATTTATCAGATATTATGACAGACTTGAATATATAAAATATTATATTTTTATTATTTTACCATTTTCTTGTTTTTAATAATAATTATAAGTACAATATTTAAATGTTATTTTCGTATTTATGATTTATTTTCTCCGGCTAAATAACTTTTTTATTATATTATCTTATTTTGCGAAAATCGTGACGCTTTTTAATATGCTAAAATAAATTAGGGAAGCGATTATTGCAACATGACGATGGCAGAAGAGAACGGTACGATCGATACATTTACTAACGCTGCCCAAAAAAAAAATAGCATAACTGGAAAGGTAGAAGATCTGATAAATAAAGAAGATGAAATTACTCTAGAAGATTTGGCACCAGACGGTGGCTGGGGATGGATGATTGCACTAGCAATGATATTAATTATGGTCAGTTTAATAATAATGCATAGTATGTAGATATGTAGTAATGTTCAACACACACTAAGCTATTAAAATAGATACATCACTCTTCAAATAACATTCGCTTAAAAATCATTTCAGAATTTTTCCCAACACGAATTTGAAGAACTTTGCATGTAGATACGTAATGAAAAATTAACATTTATTTTCTCGCTGTTCCAGGTCACTACAATAGGTCCAATGTCATCATTTACTATAATCTTTGGTGATTTCCTCGAAGATTCCGGACAGGCGGGGATGGCATCGAGCCTTTCTAATTCCGTTTTTATGGTTACTTATTCTATTGCCAGTAAGTCCATGTATCATGTTTAATCATTAAAATTAAAGGAAAGATTAATGTAAATTACATTTGCATAGTTATTAATTAACTTCTATATAAATTTAATAGAAACAATTTATAAATAGTGAATTTGCAAAAATGTATACTTTTTGCATTATTCATTTCTTTGGTATAAAACTTTTCCCGGAAGAAGAAATTTATTCTATGATAAGAACATTAAGTGGCAAGTAATTTGAAATAAACGTAATTTTTCTGCTCTTATCGGTGTCAGTTAAGTCAGTTAAGTCATCAGCTTCTTGTTGCAAGTTTTATTACTAACTCTTTCGTACGATAAATTAAATCGAATGACATGTGTACTGATCGAAGTTTTCAACCGGCATGTAAGCGATTATAATGCATATGTTTCCGACATAAAATCAGAAGGAGCATTTGTATCTAATAGCGTTTTCTCTTGGGATACACTGGGTGCAACCTCGCACCGCACCAGTTGTAAGCGCTAAACTCAGCTACACTACACTAGAGTGGTGTACACCATGATGTACACTACATCATTATTGCGCTAAAACCTTGTTCCCGCTTGACTTCCATTTTCAAATTTTAAATGTCACAATGGCTTTACACCGTCCCTTTGAGACGGTGTAGGAAAATCCGACTTCGTGCATAAAATTTGCACTACACCGTAGCCACGGAATACATTTTTGTGTATAGAAAGTTATATTTTTTAGATAGCATTTTATTCATATCAATAAAATATTTTTTTTATTTATGTTTTTGATATTTTTTTTCTACTTAAATATGTTTTTTGCAGGCTTGCTCACCAATACATTGTTAAAGAGATATTCTACAAGGCCGGTCGGAATCGTAGGTGCAATCTTCTTTGCGTTACCTAATATCGTCATAGCCTTCGTCAGAAACATATACGAGATGGCTTTTGTCTGTTTTATTCAAGGTTTTGGATTGGGCCTAATTTTTACAATTACCAACACAGTTTTCAACTCGTACTTTGTAAAGAAGAGGGCAAAAGTGAATCAATTAATGGCTAATTATTAAATGTGTTTAAAAACGTTGGATTCTTTCAATTTATTAAAACATTTGTTCTATTCTTTAGGTAATGTATGCGTCGCAAGTCATCATTGGGTTGGGCGGAATTATTTTTCCTACATTATGTGAAAAAATGCTGCCAATCTACGGTTTTCGCGGTAAGTGTCACAAAGATAAAGTTCTCGAAATTTGTTATAATTCATTTATGTTTGGTATTTGTGTTAGGTACTGCGGCAATAATAGGCGCTCTAAGCCTCAATAGCGTCGTTGGAATGATAATGATGCATCCCGTGGAATGGCATGCCAAGAAGCTGGAAGATGTTCGTGCGGAAAAAGCGCGCGAGAAGGAACAAAAAATTTCTCAGGAATTGGCACTGTCGAATCGTCGTTCAACTATTGACGTGGTCCACTTATCTTTTAAGACTAAATGGAACAGTCTTTGTAGTCTCAAGGAAGGAAGAGGTTCAGAAATGCCGTTGCTAATTGAAACTGTTAAGGTGACAAAATTTATTAAACTTTAAAATCTCCATTTTACTCAGTCAAATATTAATTTTTTTATATAATAATATTTGAATGATATTAAGTGAAAATGGACCGAAAAATGTTCAACATAAATGGCCAAAAAAAGCCATATAATTTTAATAAATTACAATAAAAAAACAATAAATTAATGGGCTCCTTATATTTAGAATAATAATAAATAGTAATAAAAAGGCAATAATAGGAGTCGTCGCTAGATATAATTGCGCAGTGTCAAAAATTAAAATTATTTTACATATTATGTTACAATAATTCAAACGGCATGTACATATTATGTTACAATAATTTAAAAGGCCTGAACGTTTATTTATTATTACGTACTATTTATTATTATTCCATATAATTTTGTTTATAAGGCTTCTGCGCAAAGAGTCGCGTCAGTCCCAGCAATTGAGAGTCACGGAAGAGCAAAATCAGGATCTATATGGGAAAATTTATCGAGGCGTACATTGGCTATCTCGGCTCCTAGCTTAGTTAATTTGGCGAATCGCACGACTTGTATATTGAGCGATATACGACTATTTCATCTGGAAAAGAAGTACAGTGAAAGACAGATAGATACAGACAATCGGGGGAAGGAAAAGAAACAAAATAAGGAAATCATAGAAAAGAAAGAGAAACAAAATAAAGAAGTTCAGGAGGAGGAAGAGAAACAAGATAAGGAAATCCAGGAGAAAGAAGAGGCGCAAGACATTGAGAAAGAACAAAAGATGACAGGGTAAACATACAACTATTAACAACTATTTGCATAATTGAATATATGATATGTACGCTTTAAGATTTTAGGACTTGTCAATCCTGTTATCAATTGATATTTTATCTTTCTACATATATCTCTACAATTCAATAATGTAATTTATTTTTCATGATATGACTTATAATTCCACCTTTATAATGTACACTTTGATTTATCTTGTCAACATGAAAGGTATAAAACCATTTTGAGAGAACTTGTGGACATGTCCTTGGTGAAGAACCTCTGTTTCATAAATTTATGCTTTGGCGTCAGTTTTGTGTGCTTTTCCGACTTTGGTTTTTCTTTTCTTCTTCCTCTTATGATGACTGACGCGGGATACCCAAAAACCTATGCCGCATTAAGTGTCACAGTTAGTGGAATAGCTGAGCTGGCGTCGAAAATTTTATTGTCAGTTTTTACACTGATAATAAACATAAAATCGAAGTATATATTCTTTGTCGCCACAATCTTGATGGGATTCGCAAGAATGGGTAGTTATTTAATCTTATAGCCGAGTAAATAAATTATAGCGAATTTTCAGTTACTAAAATGACATATAAAACTCACAATATATAGGTTTTCTGCTATGTGAACATACATTTAAAGGCGCGTTAATTACGATAGCATTAATCGGCGCCGTGCGATCGTGGCTGCTAGTTCCGCAGCCTTTAGTTATCATAGAAGACCTCAACATAGAAAAATTTGCCTCCGCTTACGGTATCAACTCTGTTATCAGCAGTTTAGTTACGATAATTTTTGGTGCCATTGTAGGTAAGTTGAGAAAGACTGTTATACAATTTCTAATCTGTAATATAACATTGTACATATGTTTCATTGCAGGAATTATTAAGGATTGGACTGGTAGCTACGAAATGTATCAAATTTCGCTACTAGTAATGAATAGTGTATTTATTTTACCTTGGATTTTGCAATTCACTTTTGTAGACTTTAGAAAATGGCGAAAGCAACGCGCGCAGAAAGCTAACACTACAGACCATCAATGGGAATAAAGAGGTGTGGGACATCTCAAGAATTAATGACCCGTACTCATCCATTTTTTTCAAGTTTATTTTCGCTTTTTCTTCATTAAAACGTTTAATATTTTTAATTATTCTTGATGTACATAGTGCATATTAATTTTTATATATGTAGCTTTCTGTCGTTTGTAAATAGAGAAACTTTTATATTTTGTAATTCAGTTCTTTTTTACAATAAATTTTTTTTAATAAATTAGATTTAAATTTTTATGCGGTAAGGATAGTTTATAATATTTTTAGAAGGAGAAACAAGATATATAAAATATGTACAAGATATATATTATTGGAATTGTAAGATGGAACAACATGATTTTTGTTACAGCGCTTTATTTGTTCTAAATTATATAAAGTATAATAAAATAATTATCAATTTTTGAGTAGTTAATGGTTTTAAATTATAACTCCTAAAATTAATAAAATATTAAAAATTCTATAATATTAGTAGAGTGCAAACCTATCTTATCTGCAAATAAGTTTTAGAATACAGTATGTCTTGACAATATTTGTAATTTTTTAAATATAATATCGATTTTTCCATCTGTGTCTTACATTTGGTTAGAAAAATAAATAGCAAATTATTAGAGAAATATACTTATTCAAGCGAAATTAATAAGTAAAAAATAAATTGTCTTACTAGGGCAAGCGTCAATCTATTTATATTTGACTGGGTTATGCTTTATGCAGATATGGGATTGTTAATTTCTGATTATTCTTTACAAGGTGTTCGTGTGCGCGGCTCGATTTTAATCTTGAATCCATCATGCCTTTTTAAAATAATATCAGCTCGTAGAAGGAAATCTTTGTCCAAGGTTTCAGAAATAATACGATAATTTCTCAGTATTGTCGACAGCAAAACCTTTAGTTTCAGCATAGCGTATTTCCGTCCCACACAAGACCTTTGAAAAACATACTGTTATTAACGAATACGACAAAATATTTTTACATATTAATATTTCAAAAACAAATATTTAGACTTAAATATAATTTTCTAATTATGACTTCAGAAAAAAGAATAATACCAATTTAAGGTTAATAAGAGTCAACACAGGACGAGATGCGTAATCTTAATGTGGAATGATGACTTAACTCCAATATCTCTGTGATGTTTTCTTTATTCACAAAAATTGAAATTTGATGAAGAAAGCGATTGTATGCTGAGGAAGATTCAAAAGAGAGTTGGAAACGTTCATGGTGAATAAAGAAAACATCACAGAGATATTAGGGTTAAGTCATCATTCCACATTAAAATTACTCACCTCGTCCTGCATTGACTCTTATTAGCCTTAAATTTGTATTATTGTTGTTTTAAGTAGTTAGAGTTCGGTTAAGTTATTTAATTTTATTATTCAGAAAAAAAATTACTAAAAAAAGAAACAAATTATTACTATAAAATATTAATAAATATTAAACACCTTGGCCCAGCACTAAAAGGAATATAAGCATAATAGTGTCTTTTTTGCATATTTTCCGGTAAAAAGTTGTCTGGATTAAAAACTGTTGGATTTGGATAATACTTCTCTAAGCGATGTGTCATGTATTGTACAATCATTACTGTGGTGGACTTTGGAAGAATATAATCCCCTGTAACTATAAAATAAATTAACTATATATGTATATCTCTTTTCAATTTATAAATGAGTTCTTAAAGTAAATACCTTTAGTGTGGAACAATTTTTGTGAAAAGCTATATAGTTTGAGATAAGATCTTAGAAATTCTTAATTTTTCATAGATATTCGTAGTGGGACGCCGTTTATTTGAAAAACCAATGAATCCTCTGTGCTCAAACAACGTCACTCTACGTTCCACTACGGACATCTACGAAAAATTAAGAATTTCTAAGATCTTACCTCAATCTACTATGTAGTTTTTCTGTACTTTTTCGTAAAAATTTTTTTCTGCCAGGCTACAACTTATAACTCACGCGCACATCTAATATTATAATAATAATTATTGTTTTAATAATGTATTTAAATCTAAATAGCTTACCTATTTTTACATCCTGATTAAGGCGCCTCGCAATCAGAGGTACCGGTGGGAAAAGTCTCAAAGTTTCCATAATAACTCTCTCAAGATACTTCATTTCTAAAGTATCTTGGAAAGTGCATTGTCTATTGCTGTCACCAAAAATTGTGTCCAATTCTTCGTATACGCGAGCCTGCACAGTGAAAATCATTGAATTAAAACAAAATTGAGAATAGGAGAGCGGTTCACCCTCATATTTAATTCACTAACCAACTAACCAACGTTCTATTGCCTGGAAATGATTTAATTCGATTCCTCATATTATTCTTCGAAAAAAACATCTATATATGCTTCATTTTTTTTTATCTGTTGAATAATTATGAATAATTTATAAAAAATCTAAACTTCGAATAAAAAATCCGGAAAAATTCTCAAAGCTTAATTGGATCAAAATGAACATTTTTTGTCTCTTAGACTTTTTTGATAAAATCAATAGTTTTTGAGATAAAAAATGTCTAAGCTTGAAAAACAATACATATCTTTATATCTTTTTCTCACAAACTAATCATCCAATCAGTATAAATAAAAAATAAAAAATATTCGGCCAATTTTAAACTATTAAATTGGTATTATTTTAAGAGACAAAAAATGTTCATTATGATTCAATTAAGCTTACAGAATTTTTTTTCGGAATTTTTATTCGAAGTTTAGACTTTTAAAACAAAAAATGATTAACTATTCAATGACCACATAAAAAAAATTAAATGTATACAAATATTTTTTCTCAAAATAGAGATATCGAATTAAATCATTTCCAGCCATTAAAACGTTGTGTTGGTCGATTAATGCATTTTCTAAGCGACTTTTTAGTAAACTACTCGCCTGGAATGAATTATTATACGACTGTTATCGAAACCAAGCAACATATCGATCTCTAGCTTAGCTCTCAGAAAGCAGTGAAGATCGCGAAACACAATGTTTTTGAATTACTATTTTAATTTAATTTAAATATAAATTTAGTTATCGATAAATAAGTAACCTGTTAAAATGGGTGATGCAGTCAATGGTAAGAAATTATTTATGAAGTTGTGTGTTTCGTGTCATACCACGGAAAAGGGTGGAAAACATAAAATAGGTCCTAACCTGTATGGCATCATGGGCAAGACTTGTGGAAGTATGTGTTTTATTATAAATATCCCAATGTTTTATAGACAATATCTTGGTTGAGAAAATTCAACGAAAAAGAATTTCAGAAAAAAACATTTTAATAATTGCTTAATAATATTCATGCGTAAATATATAATACTGTTAAATGATGGTATAGGAATTTAATTTATTATATAACTGTTTTATTTCTTTTAGCTATTTCGGGATTTAAATCCACGGTAGCTATGAAGGAAAAAGCTATTGTGTGGAATGAGAGGACCTTAAATGACTATCTTGAAATTCCCAAGAAATTTATTCCCGGAACAAGTATGGCATTCTATGGTGTCAAGAAGACCGAAGATCGAAGAGATTTGATAGCTTTCTTAGCTACTTTGAAGTAATCGTGTTTTAATAAAACAGTGTACAACAATTTTTCAGCATAAATGTAACATGCAAATGATGAGACTATTAGTTAATAATTAAAAATAATAATAATGAAGGTACCTGAATATCTGGATGACTTCCTAAGACACAAAGTGCAAAACTCGAGCCAGCTGCCGTAGTATCGTGACCCTGTAATAAATCGATAATTACTTTTTTTTTTAGTAAATTAATAACTTACAATTTATTATAGCAATGCAATATACGAGATATTTTGTAGAAGCTAAGAAAAATTTAAGTTATAAAAATTTACGTTCAAAGATTTATAACAAAACTAAATTTACACTCGAAAGAAAATTGAAAGTATTGTGATACCTCAAACATGATGGTATTTACTTCTTCCCAGATTTCCTCATCAGTCATTTGTCCATTCTTTTTTAATTCGAACATCATTTCTAAGAAAGCAAGTCGCTTTTTCTCACCTGTGTCATTCTCATCGATGTCATCAAGATCATCTCTTACATAATGCATATAATTAGCTGCATTATTTTTAGTGTTTTCTACATTTTCGGTTACCTTCGAATTTTCTATTGGTTTATCGTTTTGTGAGTCTTTTAATTGTTGATATTTTTCATATTTTTCTTCAACATCTTTTGATTTTTCTTTGATTACATGTTCTGTCAATGAATGAATAGTTTTGAGCATTTTCTTTTGGAGGTTTGCAAGCTTCGAAAATTTGAAAAATATATCGAACCGACATGATATATCGTAATGTCTTCGATGTAAAATATCGCTCATTCTACAATATTCAAATTATGATGAGTGCATTTTCTACATGATAAATATTTAATAAAATATTACGTATAATTTTAAGGAAGCAACAATATATACTTCATCACGGCCATGGCATATTCATATCCGGTTTTTTGTCTTCTTTCTTTCTTAACTCCCATTGCTGTTTCTGTTAAAATGTCAACCGTTACGGCTGATAGATAATCGTGGCAATCGAATTCCTCTCCAACTTTATCGCGAAGTCGATGCACGAGATCTACGCTGTTTTCATAAAATAAAGGCACAAATGTCTTTAAGATATTCATATGAAATGAAGGCGCAATCACCTTTCTATGTCTGCGCCATTTGTCGCCCTTTGTGATCAGCAAACCATCTCCAAGCCATGGTTTAAAAAATCTACAGATAGAGATAAAAAAAGGATTATTTAATTACTTCCAGTAATAGTAATAAGCAGTATCTTATAATAAATGACAGACCATTTAGAATAGAATTTGCATCTTTAGTTGTAACATACATATAGGAATAAAACACATTATACACTGAGAAAAAAATGCTGTTAATTCAATTAAAGTCTACATTACAGGCTGTCACTAACATAAGTGATTAAATCATGTATATTTTTATTGACACAAAGGCCTTGATTACTGAAATAATAATTTATGCCTTTATATCAATAAAAATATACATGAAT